AACTGTTTTATGTTTTAGTGACTATGTGGTTTCTTTCAGCTTTAACCAGTGGCCATGCAGTGTAGCAGGACTACAGCGACACCCTGTGGCCGTTTGATGTAACTACAGCAGAAAAAAGGAAGCGTTTCTTCAGTTTTTCCTCCTTTAAAGAAGAATATAAAGGGAGTAAATGCCACTTTTAGAGCACAGACATGCTCTACTGCCTTAAAATGTTCAGTAGAAGGAGGGAGGGGGGAGGAGAAGAAAGAAAAACAATAATGAAATTAATAATACATTAAATGTTCATGCCACTTTAAAAGAAACTCAAAGAGGCTTTACAAGAAAAAGTCCTGGTGCTGAAATATAATGTCCAGGTGTGTGTATCAGGGTATTCAGAGGTTAACAAAGAGTGGACAACGATAATGAAGCAGTTCATTAAGCTGCTGTTCAGACTTTGGACCAGCAGGGGGCACCAGAGAGAGGAGGCCTTTTTCCATCCAGGCTTCAAAATTCACACAGCTTCATTTCTGTAGTTCACAGTAACACAAAGCAAAGCAGAAACGTTTCACTGGGACTCAAAGAAGTTCAAAATGAGCTGAGGAGCAGTTCAGTCCGGTGATTAGCCGTAAACGAGGATCCTCCAGAGACAGAAACCCGGAAAGTGGAGGCAGGTGTTGCTCATTTCCGGCTAACGAGCTCCATCAGACTGCAACAGGACAGTAGTTTGTTCTGACATCTCTTTTTTTTATTTAACCTCCTGAGACCCTGTGTCCTCATAAGTGGACGTTGCATTTTTGACTCTCTTTACCATGATACTTCTTTTTTTCTTTCAGCTTTGACCTCTTGGTCTCATAGCAGATGCTATCAGACACTGTTTGAAATCTAAAGTAAAGAAAAAATGTAAATAAGTCAATGGGACTGTCAGAACAAAATTGTAAAAACATTTAATTAAATATGTATCTCATATATCTTTAAAAAAAAAGCTAAAATGCATGCCAAATAAAAGCTCGGGTCTCAGGAGGTTAAAAAAAAAAAAAACTTTATTGCCAGTTCATAACTTACAGACAAACATAACCACACAATTCAACAACAACGACAAAAACAGTTAAACAAAACCATAAAAAAATAATAGAAGAAAAACAAAGATACAATCAGCTGGACTGAGAAAAAAGAAAATTCAATAATAAATTTTAAAAAATTAAAAAACACCTGGATTTGTTCTGACCTTTCTCTCTTTTAAAAAAAAACTTTATTGCCAGTACATAACTCACAGGCAAACATAACCACACAATTCAACAACGACAAAAACAGTCAAACAAAACCATAAACAAATAACAGAAGACAAACAAAGATACAATCAGATGGACTGAGAAAAAAGAAAATTAAATAATAAATACTTTTTTTTTTTAAAAAACCTGGATTTGTTCTGACCTTTTTTTTTTTTTAAACTTTATTGCCAGTTCATAACTTACAGGCAAACATTACCACACAATTCAATAACGACAAAAACAGTAAAACAAAACCATTAAAAAATAATATAAGACAAACAAACATACAATCAGCTGGACTGAAAAAAAAGAAAATTTAAAAATAAATTAAAAAATTAAAAAAACACCTTAATTTTAGATCACATAATATTTATAGATTTGTTTTCTGCTCACATCTGAGGGCTGGACATGTTGTTGAGGTTCTACTTTTCCTCTCTGTCATTTAAAACGAAACAAACAGGTGCTTTAGTTTAATTTTGTTCATGTCCAGGAAATAAATCACAGGAAATGTGGTCACTAAGCACTCTGACCAGAGAGTCCAGTTCAGGCAAACCACTGGAAACCGGTCAGAACCAAAGTCTATCACACTCATTAGGAATTAGACTTTTACTGGGGTCTATCCCTCATTTCAAGAAAGGAAAGTACGCAATATCCTCCCCGAGCTTTTAAAGTAACATAATTGAAGACGGAAAAGCTTTCTCAGGCCTTATAAGAGACTCTTGTGAGCTGGATGTGGTTTTCTCTTATCTGAGAATACTCAGAGAGGCGCGTCCCACTCACCCTGAAACGATAATTTAAAAAAACAGAGCTGGATTATAATAAATGTGATTTAACCATAAAGGAGCTGCATTTCTAAATTCTGAGTGGATTAAGCTTTGCAACGCCTGGAATATTAATTTGGGGATTTTTTGCTTAATACAGCAACTGCGAGTTTCTTTCAGCTAAAGTTTGAACTTTTGGTTT